TCACCAAGGTTTCTGACCAATGGAGAAAACACGGTTAAACCAGCACACATCAATGGAGCAGCAACAGCTGATTCCAATGCGTCTGGAATTGGGAAAACATATTGTTCGTGTGCGATGGAGTGGGAAGAGTAACCACCTTGGGAGATGTAGCCACTATCGAAATCTTCGGAGTTGTAAGTTCCTACCTTCTTGTTACAGTATTGTTCGTTGTCTGTTTCACATCTTTCACAGTCCATACAAGACTTGGAGCAGGCACCAATACCGCATCTGTCCCCAACCTTGACGTCCTTGACGTCCTTACCGACAGCAATAACCTTACCAATGATTTCGTGCCCAACGACGAGATCATTTCTTTTCAATGGTGTCCAGGCACCCTTCAAGGTGTGGATATCACTACCACATAAACCACAGCAGATGTTTTCTAAAACAACATCATGAGATGCAACTTCTTTGGCTTCATATTTAACTAATTGTGGCTTATTCCAGTTTTCGGCCTTATCGATACCAAAACCTTTAAATTGTTGTGGGACTGTCATTTTGTATTTTTATTTCTTAAATTAAATGATTACCAAACTCTGTTGGCCTACTGGCACACTGTGCTTTTATATACTTTCGATTCGAAGATAGCAGCAACGGTTTTAAGTTTTCGCTAAATTAGTAAGCGATTTTTGATAACAGTGCTCGTATCCAAATATGCCCGAAATAAGCTTCGGAAATGTTCTATAAGATACTTATTTGATGAGTTGGCGCAAGAATCTCCGATAGCAAATTGTGCTATCTCCGTTCACGCTTTTCTGTTCTCCAACCTACGTTATGGACAACTAATAAGGATTGATGTCATGCATGAATTCTGCAATATTACATTGAATAATTGAAAATTGGTTTCTTTTTACTAATCAAAAAAAGTAAAATAACTAACTACATACAGGTGAAATCTAATTGAAGGCTTTGTCGAATTCGGTGAAGACGAATCTATATCTGACATCACCTTCGTCACACCTAGTTAAAGCAGTACCACAGCTATCAGCGGTAATTGGTACTTCTTCAATCCATGGCTTAATGTTCTTTTCAGCCG